TCCCATTACCGAAAATCTGAAGTCCAGAAAAAGATCTTCAACGTAAGTGGCTCTTAACATCGAGTCTTTTGGAGGAATATAACTTCGAACTTCTTTTTCTTGGTTGAAATTTGATGATCGGTCTCAGTTCAACAGAATGTTTGAATGCAAAAATTGGTCTAAGTGTTACTCAATAAGTTCGCAATCCGTAAAGCAAAGTATTTTAAAATATTTGTCAATTAAGAATAAGATCTAGACTAGATGAGCAGATAAGGACTAAGTCCCATTTTGGAATAAATGAGTAAGAGTATATTCAAGCTCAACTGCACGTATGTTTGCTTCTGTCGGAAATTCAAAGCCGAGAAATAATTTTGATCGTGAAAATAGGGATTGAAGAGAACTTATAACGTGGAGTTTTATGGCGGATCAAAAGTAAAACTCCAAACCTATTTTCCTTAGTCTTAACTTGATAAGGCTTGCCTCCTTGATTCCAACCTGCTTCGAAACAATTTTAAAACTATAATAATTGTATACGAAATTGTGTATGCGTTTGGCAAACACGCAAATCACTTTTGTTTCGCTATTACGATACAAACATGCTCTCTTAGAAAGTCAATCAACAGATTTAGGCGAAAGTCACATTATGTGGTGCTAAAAACGGAGAAAGACAGCAAAAAAACTGTCAGTATCGTCGCACCTCCAAGTGGAAAGTAAATGACAAGTAGAGATGTTGCAAGGGGGAAGCGGAGAAAGAACGATGAGGAACAGGAAAAATACAGAGGGAAAGAAGGAAAATTGGAAGCAGAAACAAGATAAAGGGGAAGGAAGAGAGAGAAAGTGAATTGGTAGGAACATGAACTACAGGCATGCGGTCCTCCCTGTGTGCAGTCGGTAAAAACAGTTCCAGTCTCGGGGGGGTGAACGCAACAAACATGGTGCCAACTTGTACTTGTCAAATATACAAAATAGTGTTTTATTACTGGTAAAAATAAGCATAATTTTAAAATTTCTTCCACTTTGAAGTGATGAAACAACGATTGCTCTTTTGGTGCTCTCGTCATACCAAAACTAAAAATACCGAACAGTGTAAAAACTGTAAATGAGCAAGGAATCAATATTATTTAATTTCCCTCGTTGATAACCAGCAATCCAAAAGTCTTCGATGACACGCAAAGTTTCTAAAGGGAACTTTTGCGATGTTACTTTTGAAGTTGCTTTTGCCTAGTAAGAGATTCTACTGCGCTAACACAAAGATCACATTAATCTCTAACATACGCAACTGTTTTCCTGGAAAAATCTGTAGAGGGATTTTGAGAGATGAATACATTTGTACGAATGAAAGTCTAGACAACATTTTGGCAAGTATATTAAGACTCCCTGAGAAAAATTCTACGTTCCCTTTATAGTGTAATTTCCAAGAAAATTATAACGTTTACTCAATTACCGTTAAACTAACCTTCGCAGTTCCATCACTTCTAAGGAATTTTGACCTTTTCTAAAAGAAAAATACCACCCTCTATCGTTTATCCAATTACGGAAACTTTTAAATATTTTGATCATCATTTATCATAGCCCAAAACGTTAAATACGTACTCTTCAACGTGAATTAATTCATTAAAAAATCATTACCAAAACATCCATGCTGGAAAATCTCTTCAATATGCTGAATGCGACTATGTAAAAGAAAATACAAAGTTAAGGTATAATTAAACACTATGTATGATCCTCACGTATTCTTTCAGCGAGTCTCTTAAGATACACATTTTCTGGGAGCTCAGACGACCATCAATGATGTGTTTATTTGGGGATATGACGACTATTTTGGATTGATTAGACTACATGGCAACGTTTTCATGCGGACCAAAGGGGTGGTTGCTGCGTACAGAGGGGTGGCCAAAGCGTCATACATCATATTTTCATCTGTGGCGGCTCAGCCTCTGCCACCCCCTCGCAACGTCGAGCGTAGTTATGTTTCATGACCCGTGCATAGACAACAAAACGACAGCAGTGTGCTTTGTGTGAAGACCATTTTATCATATAAAATGACTACCCAAATTCTCATCTCTTGTCATAGTTATATCTGGTGATCTACCGATTCGCATAATTTTTCGACCATCGGTAGGAAATGAACTCTATCGATGAGTCTGCTGTCTTCAGAAATTAAAAGTAGATCGCCATTAAAATGTATTTATTGTACAACTTGTATTCTACAATTATGTAGAGTTGTTGCAAATTTAATAATGTTTGAACTTAAATAAATAAATTATGTTTATCAATCTTAGATCCAAAGCTATTTATCCCTTGTATTATAAGTAGATTTCGGTTCCATTTTTTTTTTTCAAAATTGTGGTAGAATAACGATCATCCGACATCTCTATTATCCAACACGACGTTTTCATCGCTGAAACGTGGCATTTCCTGACACGACGCGACGAAAAGTGGTTTTCGGGGCGATGATCAAATATGCATGTTTGGTTAATGTATTGTTTTCCAATTGAATGACCATATTTTAACAAGCTATAGAAAAGTGGCCAAGCTTGTATCTTCTGGTGACAAACACAGTCCAAATTAAAGTTTTCAGTCACTTTTTTAAAGGTAACTTTGATTATCCTACATTTTTATTATCCAATATCCCCGATCGCTACATTGTGTCGGATAATCGAGATTTTTCTCTTCTTAGTGTTTTAGTATTAATTAACGGTAGGAAACTTTGACTAATTTAAACAGAAGGGGCACCACGGTATGAAAAAATATACCATACGTATAGTGACGTCCTTTCTCCTACAATATTGTCAACGACATTACCTAGAAACTTCTAAAAAATTATCGAAAGAAGTACCTGTAGCAACGAATAATTATCAACAGCATCTCAGACACGCGAAAAGTAGATCGTGGAAACTGAGCCGACCCATTTCTGGGATCATGCTAGAATTCACGAATTAAAGCGTTAAGCTACGAATCTTCAAATAAAACTCGAAAATTTCAATATTGATCTCGATTGCGTCCTCTCGTTGAACGCTCTAACGAGCTCGGGTTTTTTGCGGAATCCGGCCGTCCCTAAATCGCCCACACTCGATCCTGGAATTATACTTGCATATTGCGTTGGCTTTTCGTGGAAAAGCGTCGAAAGATCCGTGCGTCATTCTTAGAATCAATTTATCGTTCTTTTGAGGTAAGCTTGTTAGTTTAACGAAGAGGACTCAAATTCAAGACGTCAAAAACTTATACGCTTTGATATCAATTAGGATCAATTTGAAAATGTGATTTCGTAGTAGTTTACGTCGGAGGGCGCTCAAGCATTTCGTAATTTTTTTATTTCCTCCTACCATACTTTACTTTTTACATCCTGACTCCAGAACTCCCTCATAAGTTAGTTACGTCATAGAGAGCAGAATACCTTTCTTCCCGTTTTCTTTGATATTTTGACTAACTGTGGTTAATTTAATCAGATATTTTCCGAATAATCCACATTTAGCCAGCCTACCTTTTTATCCGAGTTTCCCTAATTTCCATGGTTTTCACATTTTTTCAACTCAATTTCGCATCCATCCTTCCCCTTTTTTCGTCAAAGGGAGTGTACAAGAGGTATCAATTGCCTTCATTTACTCATGTAGGCAAAATTCCGACCACAGAGCACGAATAGTTGCTCAAGCCCCTTACAGCCACAAGTCGACGATAATAGTCTACCTCGAAGGCGATTCTTGCAAGTTGGCAACACTGTTTCCTCCGTTAAAACCTTTGTTGAACAATCAATTCTAGGCAACCTGCCTCACCTAGTTTCGATATATTTAATGGATTCACATGGAGTATTAAAAGTTTTACCAACTTACTGCAATCGCCACTGGTCTGCCTGCACCTAAACACCGTTTTCTTGACACTATTCGTACTTTTACATGTTACGCCATCTACAAAATATTCAAAATGGCGCATAAATCGTCGAAATTCTGATGAATCCTCACCTAACACCCCCCCCCCCCCCCCCCCCCCCAACGGATTTTATAGATTTAAACTGTTTATTCTGTAGTTTTTCCGTCTCCGGTTAATACTCTTCTCAAAATTTGGATTCTTCTCTCTCACGTGATGCTGTTCTACGAGAGAAAATCACCGTCGAACCCATAGTGATTACCAATAATAATCGATGATTTGCACTGGCTATCGATATTTCTCCATTTGAAGCTACGGCCGATTGCCGACGTTATGCAAATAAAAGTACATTTTAAGTCATTTTTTATTAACATTTACTCACAGCGTCCGCCATTTTTGGGCCCTAGAAGATGGCTAAGCTAATCAGCATTATTGATGGGTGGTAACTGCAGTGACCAAACTCTTCCTATAAAAGTACTCTACGTTACCCTCGACTTCGATATGATGACTACGCTGCCGTGATAGCGAAGAGAGCCGTAAGTGCAGAAATGAAGTTTTGAGAAGACGGGCTCAGAAGCTTCTGATGAGATCATTTTATTGAAAGAAGCCTCCGTTCTTTGTCAAATTGCCACTAATCGTCCGGAAGACCCCTGGAAATCGTATGGATGATTAAACATCGACTGATTTTATTTCCATTACATAAAAAAGGGTATTTTTCATTTTCTTGCTAGGTTATTGTGAGGCAAGACAGCCGTAAGAGCTATCCTCTGCACGCTTTCGTGGTTGCGTTTTGGACGCACAACAAACACATTTTCAGGTTAGAAATTGGAAGAAGAGGGCGGCACCTTACTGGAAAGCACTGTTTTCATTGGCTCTCACGCATCTACGGCTGTCTTGAAAAAAAACTGTGTCAATTTTTGTGCACTTACGGCTTTTACATACGTCTCGTTTTCATTAAATTAGGATGAATTTTGCTGTTTTAGCTGTCTCAGTAATTTCATCTAAAAGAGTTTAGACGAATTTTGAAGAAAACTCGATTTCGAAAATTTTGCACTTACGGCTCTCTTCGCTATCACGGCAGTACGGTAGAGACCTTTTACTTTAGATTTCACCGATGCGGACGTTTAAAACTAACCTTTAACGATGGTCTGTTGCAGATAACGAGCCGCCGCCGGTGGAGCAGTCTGGCGACGGATTCCTCAATTTCACGAGCATAAGGCGAGACCACGTCGGATGGTACAAGTGCACAGCCCGGCATTTGTTCTCCGAGTACTCATCCATAGGCTATTATCTCAACATCGTTTGTAAGTACCATATCGACGGTGAAACTACCAAACCACGTATCTCGATTTGCGACGTCGCAGACTTCCTTTCATACTTTATTTTTTAAATGAAAAACTACTTAACGTCCAGTCTTGAAAATTTCTGTGATTTTTCCTCTTCGTGCGGAGAAAATTCTGTGAAAATTTTAAGGAATGATATTGATTTGGTCTACTTCCAAAAAATAAAATGCGAGCGTATATTTTTAAACACCGCAAACGAGATACGTGGTTTGGTAGTTTCACCGTCGATATTTATTATCCTTCACTACCTACCCCCCCTGCCACCCCTTGATAGCCCCTTCCTCGCGAGTGCATCAGCGCCCTCGCCGACTCTTCAGAGCGGAATTCTGCCGTGCTAAGGAAGAACGCCGTATGAACCTTCAGGCGTTGCCAAATTTCCTTTAATAAAAAACAAATTTCCTGGTAAATTTGTGGATATTTTCCTGCCAATTTTTCAGAGAATTTTGTTCACAATTTCACCTAAAGTTCCTGAAAATTTAAAGGAAGAATATTCATAGCGTTCCTCAAAAATAATCATTTATCATGTCAATAATCAATAATCATAAATCATTTATCGGAGGAAATTTGGCAACCCTAGAATGTTCATACGGCGTTCTTCCTCAGCACCGCAGAGTTGCTAGCTACGGTTTACTCTCACTGAAATTCCCCAGCGGTGCATTTGTTTCGTAAAGACTTTGTTACTGAGATTCAGTGCTCCCATTTCCCGGAACAGGTACCGAATTCCGGAACTTTTGAAATTCCCGAAATGTTCCGGATCTTTTGCATTTGCCGGAACTTTCTCGGAACTTTTGAAAAATCTAAAAGGAGTCCCGGAAATTTTAACAGTCATGGAGTAGGAGAACTTGGAACAAAAAAGTTCCGAATCCCGGAACTTTTGATGGACATGAAATGGGAGCACTGCTGAGATTGTGGGAACGAAAGAACTTTTATTCCAGTGTTTTAAAATATTTGCTTCTGCTCATGTGCGGAACTTGGAATTTAGTGAAGCAGTAGGGCCTATTCTCAAAAGGCCTCGAAAGGGAATTTAGCAACGTTGAAATTTAGTCACGCTTTTTTGGCAGGCAAACAAGGGAATGTCCAAAATTGAGGCATTGCGATCTGACTAAATGACCAACGTATCAGACTTATTCAGAATTTCAAAAATATAAATTATTCGATCCCTACAAAATAGCTGGTCACTTTTCAGCTCTACTTCAAGTTAAAAACATGACAACATCCAAGCATCACACCGGAGTTTGTCTGTTCGTTGCCTTTTCGTACTTAGCAACGTGTTATTGGAAAAAACTTAATGCGAAACACGAAAGCAGGAAACTATCTTGAACGCGGGGGCAAGGCTCTGCCGGGAGCAGCTGTTTTTGACTGGAACCATTTCGCACACGTTGAACTGTAAGCAAATGCATTTTAGATTCTCCTCCTCGCCCCTCCCCCCCCCTCTCTCCTCTCAAGGCAGGTGCTTCTCGAAGAAATTTAAAAAAAAAGCTTCCACGCGCACTTTAAAAGCAAGAACGGCGGGTTAATGCAAATAAAAGGGAACGTCTTACCCTGTTGTCGCATTCAGGGACGACTACCGCTAGGTCGTGGGGGTGGATTCACGATCGGGGGCGATTTGACACCGGGGTGCCTCAATTGGATTTTCGAGACGACAGGGAGTTTCGTTAAACGCTTCCGATTGTCAGCGAATAGAGGAGGCGCCGGGTCAGAGGAGGTCGGGGAAGGAGGGAGGGAGGGGTGGAGGAGGGCGAGAGTTTGCAAGATTGACGCATCTCCCATCAAACCGGAGGAGATGAGCCTTTGTGCTCCGTCCCGAGGGACCCCGAGTTTCGTGATTTTCCGACAGACGTTTCGTGTTGGGGAAAAATTTGTGAGGCTGACACCCCAAGTTCGAGCCTCTCCGATTGATGGCCGCCTTTGCTGAATTTCTCGGGCCGTTGGATTCAGGGATCTTGCCACCAAATTTTGACGAGCCTCTCTTATTTGAGAAGGAAATTTAGCCCACCTACGACTTCGCACCATTTATACACTGCCGGGCTGAGGGGACGCCTCACAGTGGATCGAGTCAATTAGAGAGGTCGGACTTGAAATGTTTGATTAAAACTGCAAGCTTTGCTGTTTATTTCGTCTCATTTTAAATTTCAAAGGGTGCTAATGGTAGAACATTTCACGAGGAAACCAATGGAACCACTTTTAGAACCTCAAAATTTTGTATAACTGGAGTTAGAGGCGTTTAAAGTTTTCAAATTTTGTCCGACCTCTCCTATTGACTCTAACCACTGTGCGCCGTATGAAAATTAGGAAGTTTACCTCTGCTGAAAAAACATTCATTTTTGAGAAAATGAATAAATAGTTTTCCCAGAAATTTTCAAAAGATTTTCGATTAAGACGAGTTTAAAATTTTCTGAAAATTGGAGGTTGAAAATTCAATTTTTTTTTTTTTTTGAACACTCACCTTTCAAGCAGGTACGAGGGTAATTTTGAATTGTTTTAATTTATAAAACACGGTTGTACTAGATTCTTGAAAATGCTGACGCCTCATATGGCGCATGAGAGCATGTTTTAAAAAAGAAGTTTAGAACTGCATTGACATCAAATTTCAAAATCAAAGGGGATCTTAAATGTTGTCACATCATTGCTAGTAAGTACAAGGCATCAAATCACATCTCGATTTCTGCGAGGGTCCATCGTAAGTTGGTGAGACTACCGACGAATTGTTTTGATCCTGACCCAGCGAAACCCACTTTTTGTGGATTTTTTATTTATTTACTTTGTTTTCGACTTTTATCACTGGTTTGCATTGCTGACAAGAGCACTGGCTGATAAAATTGAGTAATAGAGAGTCTCCAGTCCTGTTTGCCGACGCCGGAGTCGTAAAATTGGAGCGTGACTAGCCGGTGCCTGAATTATTGGATCCAGGCATGGGAGAACAAAGGGCAAAAATTAGGACGCCAAGTCGATAAGGCTGATAAGAGAAAACCGCTGTGGAGGGAGATAAATTTGCGCGGTAAAACGACAGAGCTCGGCTGATCCAAACAGCATAAAACACTCAACCTGCAGGGCGAGGAGGGGTGGGTGTGGTTGGAGCGCCGACTAAAAAAAGAGCTTTTTCGCACGGTCAGAAAATAAATCTCGGCGCGGAAAGCGGCAGTTCTTTTGCGGTCCCTGCGGGGCGAAATGGGGAAGAATAAAGGGGAAGGGATAGAGGGACGAGATAAGATTCCCACACCCCGTGCCCCCCTTGCCCTCTCCGTGTGATGACAGTCTATAGCGTGCAATATTCTGCCACGTATCATGCTTTTTGATGTTCTTATTAAAGGAGTCAGGGAACGAATTCCTCGTATGAAATTCGATGTTGTCTGGTTTTGATACCGTAGCCCTACCACAGCACGGCCGCGAGAGCTCCTGCTTCTCGTTCTATACGCTGGGAACACAGAGGTAGGGAAGTTCAGTCATATAAGCCGTAGTACGGAGTCTCATATCCGCCGTAATATTCGGTTAATGCATCCGTGTTTTTTACTTACGTAACTGTATCTTATTTAGTTCTCGTGACTGGAAATTGAATTTATACCGAATAGTATTACAAATTTGATAGAATGAACCCAGTTACAGGTGGAGTTCGGTTGCATTGATTGAAGGTTTAGTTAAATAGACAAAATGTGGTGTGCCGATGTGGGACAGAGTTCCACGGTTTACATGACCTTTCCTTTTTTTAAAACTTTCTTAATATTACTTTTTCTTATAACTTTTGTTCTCAAACATATAGAGGCAGTTAGGACGTTTGTTTTCGAAAAATATTTATGATTTCCCTTAAAATCGAACATGTTATCGAAGGAAATTTGGCAACTCTCGAATGTGCAAACGAAGTTTTTCCAGATCAGGGCAGTATAGTTGGTCCATCATTATTCTCTTTAGTCCACCATCCATTTCAACCTATACGAACGGTCCACTTCGACGGCGTAAGTCCGCAATCACATATCTCGTTTGCGGTGTCTGAAAATCTCCGCCTCTATGTTATTTCTTTTAAAGGAGAACTTGACATCATATCTTGAAGTTTTTGCAGAATTTTCTTCGTTTAGAGAAGAAAGATTACGGCAGTTTTAAAGAATTGCCGTCGAGTAGTTTTCCGTTTTAAAAAATAAAGTATGACAGGAAGTCTTCGACGTCGCAAACCGAGTTATGTGATTGCGGACTTACACCATCGATATGCTTTTCACGCCGACCAGCCAGCGATCGCACGGTGTTAGGCGCAATGCGGGAAGTATTCCTGCAGTCTTGTAGGCGCTCATATGCGTTCGGCTCCGACCGGCAACCGTACTGTGACTGTAGATATGCAATCCATGCATAAACAAATCCGGTTTCCCGAATAAACAAAAGCCTATAAGGCAACAATATTTTCCTTCGCGCTCTTCGCGGGTGCACTCTTGTAGGCGCTACGCGAACCGGCGATCTCACTGTGCGTAAGGCGCAATGCGGGAAGTATTCCCGCACTTTTGGAGGCGCTACGCGAACCGGCGATCTCACTGTGCGTAAGGTGCAATGCGTGAAGTATTCCTGCAGTCTTGTAGGCGCTCATATGCGTTCGGCTCCGACCGGCATCCGTACAATGACTGTAGATATGCAATCCATGCGTAAACAAATCCGGTTTCCCGAATAAACATAAGCCTTTAAGGCAACAATATTTTCCTTCGCGCTCTTCGCGGGTGCACTCTCTGTGCACTTTGTGCACTCCGCAGGTGGCTTTTCTTTTTTCCTTCCCTCGTTGAGGATATTCATCCTGTATGCTTGTGTTTGTTACAGACGACTCTCCGGAGCTGGAGATGCCGGCGGACGAGATCTCCTCGCCGGTCGGCGGGTCGGGGGTGGTGACGGTGCCCGGCGCAGGGGCGGGGGCGGGCGTCGGCGTCGGGGAGGTGGAGGTGACGCTGGGCGGGGCGCTCCAGCTGGAGTGTCCGGCCGGGGTCTCCGGGTGCTGGAGCCGGCTGGGCAGTAGGGGTCACTTGGAGCCGGTCGGGCCTGGACCGGGGCTCACCATCGACAGGATCCTCTACCAGGAGGCCGGCGAGTACCGCTGTCTCCCCGCCAAGATCGCGGCCCTCGACAAGCTGAGAACTCACAGTTTTCACGTTAAAGTAGTCGGTAAGTCAATTCCTACACTTTATCCACCCTCCTCTCAGTGACGTGGCGTGATTTGCGATACTTCGATTGATCTGTTATTTAAACATACGGGAAAGGATCGATAAACAGGGTGTTCGTAACGAACTTATCGATTCTTCAGCATAGCTTCAAATGAGAAAGTATCATCAAGCACCATTTACGCTTCGCCATCGGCGGATCCAGCAATTTGGCAACACCGGATTTCCTCCATTTAAAGCTACGGGAATGTATAGATTCTTGGAGGGGCCAGGTGCTCCGACAAGAATCGATTATTTAGCATAGGTTTAAATGGAGGAATCCGGTATTGCCAAATTGCTGGATCCGCCTCTGCGCCTCGCCACTGTCTCTTCCAACAGTTTGGGAGCCCGACAACATTTTGTGACAAAGTCGGGACACAAGTCACTCTGGAAAAAAAAGGTCTCTTGGATCTAGAGTTTAGACTCTTGAAAACATTGACAAGAAAAAATACTCTTGATCCAATCGAATTTTTGTGTCGATCAAAAAAGTACTTGAGTGTTTCGTAAATTGGCACAGTGAGTCAAAGTTTGATCAAAGTGTGAGAATATTCTACATGGAATGTCGTCAAATTGTGCTATGCTAGAAACTACTCAAAACTGAAGCTTTGAGAAAATGTAGGTAGTCGAGCACTCAAAAAAAAAATAAATCAGGTTCTAGTTCCAGTAGTTGTCTAGCGATATTATTTTTGAAATATCGGCGCAACTCTGTTCAAAATATTGGTGCCTGTAAAATGGACCCCGAAATATTTCGAAAAGAGACTTGGAACAAGTTTGATTTAAAATGGGAAGAGGAGGGAAGATGAGCCCGTGGATCTTGGCTGTTTAGGCACTGCTGTGGGGTTTATTTGCCAGGGCTCGAGCCGGCGGAATCCCTTGCGGTTTCTGTTTACCGAGTTTGTCTTTGAAATGAACTTGCGGTGCCGAATTACAAAGGGATCTCCGGGTGTCCCCGCAAAATTCAGCCTCCCAGCTTCGAAACTTTTTGATCCCCAACGCGCCCTCCCGTTGCAAAATGTATCGTAAATTACTCGCAGATACGGTGCTTCCAACAAGACTAATATCACCCAGAATCTATCGGTCAATAAATAAGAAGAAACCGGCCCCATACAACCCGCGGGGCATGTGTTTTTAACAAGCCTCGGGTGAAGTTGGCCCTGCTTGGGCACCTTAGGGTAAAACAAATTCTTTAAACTATGCAAATAAGAACAGTTAACACACTTTTCCTCTCTCTCGTAGTTAGTCTTGGATCTCCACAATCAAGGTCAAGATCCCTTTAAAGTGGTAAGAGTGGAAAATAACACAAGAGCCCGAATTCAGAACGATAAAATACAATGGATATAAAAAACAAATGGGTATACAAGGCTAAAAAAACAGAATACAAACACAACCTCCCGTCACTGCAAACTCATCATTTTTGCACTAATTCCTACCTCGGTCATTTGCATTCTAATTTATTTCTTGTTTAAATTTTTTAAATTTCAAGCTTTTGTTTCAGTTGAGAATGGGCATATAACTGGCTCGAAACGTCCTGATTGTGTTTATATTCCGTTTCCTAGCCTTGTATACTCATTTGTTTGTTATTTATCGTATATTATCGAACCCCTCTGAGTGTTGCGATTAATATTGAGTTAGTCAGTATTTTTTCCAACTTTGCAAGTGTCATGAGAATTTTCCCTGCGACTAATATCATGAAAACGCCCCGTGGAGAAAGGGCCTGAGGTAACTTGTATGCATGTCTCTTCATTTTTCATACACGGAATCAATTGAATTTGGATACCATTTTTCCACAAGAAATGCGAAATCAAAAGTCTTCCAAACAATAAACTAACTCGTAGCAAAGTTCGTGAATTACCTGCGTGTGATCCCCATCCAAAACCCTGTCGCTGAATTTTGAGGCGCCTGTAAAAGTCAGCTTGGTAGTTTTATCTCGGTGAGGAAAAAAGTCAGAGCTTCTCCGGCGGAAGGCCGCGCGCAACTTAGTTGCAAGTGCATTACAGTCATCGTATCTTGCTCTAACTCGCTGCGAAATGAGACAGCCGTCAGGTCTGTTAAAATTTACTCCCAAATTCTTTGCGCGCCACTTCCTTGCCTCTCCGATTACTTTTGATTAAAATCTTCTCGATAAATAACGCAATTTATCGGCGGAAAAATTTGCACCCATTGTACCGTAAACGGGGCCAGTGAAATACGTATTTGATTGGATCTCGCGTCTCCTTGTCTGCGAGACGGACGTTGAAATCGGCAGGTTGAACATATTTTTGAATCGGAGACATTTATTAAAGTCGTGCACAAAGATGTTGATCCCGATGTAAGTAAGCTCAAGAAAATGTTCTCCTCTGTGTGGGAAGGTCATCAAAATTGTTGGAGAAAATGCGAGAAAATGTTGGCCGATCTTTCTATTTCTTTTACTAATTTTTTTTTTTTTTTTTTTTTGGGGGGGGGGTGTTTGGTTGGCGTCATTCGTCGTTACGGTAACGTGAAATAAAACGTTATTCGTTGGTATCGTATCCCTAACTAGAAAAGTTTTTAAATACCGCTTCACATCATGACTTCTTGACCGATAACCGGAATATTTTCTACCGCTTAGGTGACTTGGTAGTTTTGTAAGGTGGCATAGAAATCGTCAATATCAGTGATCAATTTCTGATCTAGGATAACAAGAAAACACTTTATGGTGATCTTTTCGCACTTTTTTGGAAAAATAGGTAAGCACGGAGCTCTCGGACGGGCAAAGAGCAATGTCCTATCAGTACAAGTATGTGGAACTGGCGTCGTGGTTTGGGACAACCGAGGAAATCTCGCTTATTTTCTTTAATCGGCTGTATTTTCGTCAAGTTTGTAACCGCAATTAACCGAAAAAATGTTGAAGTCTGTACGGCAACGGACGGATAGAGCCAGCTGTTTTTAACTTAGTTTTTTAACTGCATAAAATTGGAAAACCTCAGCGGTGAAACATTTTTCGATTAGCGATCAAAAAGTCATCCGGTAAAGTAACCTTAGCGGTATACTGCTAAGATTTTCCAGTTAGGATACGGCACATTGACAAATAACGTTTTATTCGATGATACGGTACCGACGATTACTTTCATTTGAAGGTACCTTACCGACGAAGAATCGATTCATTACTTTTTTGGTTAGGAAAACCACCTGATGGTTTCAAATAAAATTTCTTGTGAATTTTCTCGACCCATCCTAAAAAAACACATACAATTGTAAGAAAGAATTTTGGCCTTTTTTTTCCTTGCGGAAAATAAACCATAATCGCAGATGCTGAAGCGTAGCAAACAGCGTACACATTTTCCGCATTTAGGCATCGAATGTTCTTTTCGTCAATTTTATAGTGAGTCAAAAGCCATATCCAAAGTTGACGAATAAACCAGATAAGATTTTGTGATAAAAACATGTTTAAATCCCTCTAATCTGGTCTCTGGAAGATAAGTAGGATCAGTATGCAGTGTGCACAAGTCTTCACTCGCTGGGAACACAATACTGTTTGTTGTGCAACCAACTTGTGTTTGACTAATAAAGTATGCGATTAAATGAAAAAAGCGTTAATAAATTTTTGCTTAGCCAGGACAAAAAATTACGGGGATTCCGTTAATGCCGACTAAGATCAGATCTGCTTCGCTCGACCGATTTTGACCGATCGGGGTGGAACAAAATTAACGATCGATAGTTCCTGATGGATGAGGATACTCAATACCGGCTCTCACACCGACAGCAGCGCGTATTCAAAGTGGATTAAAGAGCGCTAATTCATGCTAATAAAATTAGAGTCCCCTACTGGTGGAGCCTGCTTGCCAAATACGCTTACAAATTGAAAAGCTTTCTCGTTGAAAGAATATCCCAGAGAAATCGCAGTAAACTACTCGCAACAAAGTAGTGAAACCATCAAAAAATTCGCTCCAAATTGCAGTCAATAGCCCTTCAAAGTTTTCACCCGGCTGTGAATTCTAAGAATGACCGAGGATTCGGAATTTTTCGCAGATTTTCTTATCATTAATGGTGATCTTGACAACGTTGCTTCAAAGATTGTGCATAGGTTGATCCAAAATGCGGAAGTGAAAATATTTTCTTTATATTTAAATGAAAGCATCTCAACCAATGGACTCTAAACTCTGTACATTCAGTCAGCCGCCTGGGATTAATCCATTCATCGTCGACCCTTTTTTTGGATTACATTTTGCAATAAGAAACCACTATTTCTGGCCCATTTTAGAAACAACTTACATGTCATTGGTTTCCCTATGCAGATATGTGATTTAATGGTAGAGCCAGAGATAGTGGTTCTATATTGCAAAACGTAATCAGTTTAAGTAGTTTACTTTTTCCTTTCCTATCTTTATAATCGCATGCAAATGATGTGGGAAATTAAGGGCATTCTGCAAGTACGAGCCAAAGTTTTACACTAGTCAATGTTTGAATTACCTCTAAAATGCTACCAAACGCTTTTCTTTCGAAAGTACCCAATTCAGGTTTTTTTACTTCTCAGATTCTTCACCAATTTTTGATAAAAAATTTAACTGAGCATCTTGAAATTGCAGGAAAGCATCTAATTTTGGATCTATATTCAAAAAGAAGATCATCGATTCATTTTCGTATTTCCGGAGGATGCTATGTATTCTTCCATTATTTATGGAATTAGTGTTTCAAAATTCATTCAATAAACAATTGTAAACGTCATAAAATACCTGCATGGTCACGATTTTGGTAAAAGCATAAAGAAATGGTAAAACGATCGATGTCTTAAAATTTCGTATTCCTCCATTATTTTTAAAATTGAGTTTTCAAAGTCTATTCAATAGATTAATCAATGAAGTCATAACATATCTGGTCACAATATTGGTAAAAGCATGAACAAAAAAGGTACATTTTTGAAGAAATGGTAAAACGATCGATATCTTAACCTTGGTATTCTTCCATTATTTTTTGAATTGCTTTTTCAAAGTCTATTCGCTTAATTAA